TAGTTCATGGATGTCCTGCAGTTTTGGAAGGAGACTTGGGCCTCTAGGAGGCTGGAGCAAAGAGGGTTTCAACCCAGAAACACTCACTAGAGTTCTTAAAAGGAAGGGCAGCTCTGACATCCAATCTAGAATTGTGTTTCGTTTGTTTCTACTGGCCAAAGAAACAAGTAATTACAAGGAGGAATCAAGCAAGAGAAAGGATTTAAGACAAAAAAACCAGATAAGATGAGTGAAATGCTATGATAAAGAATTCAAGCAGGAATACTACAACGAAGAAAATCAGCCACTAGGTTCTCTGTTTTTTCTTAGTGTTAATTATCTTTGTTCTTTCTCGAAGTAGAGTTGATATGCTAGTTGCACTTTTGTTCTCCTTCAGGTGTCAAATCAGAACAATAATTCAATATGGGTCCAAGCTGTAAAATAAGGTGGTAGAAGATAGGAACCGGTGACCCACTGCCCTTCACAGAATCTGGTTTAGTGGTGCTGGTAGCTGTGGCATGATAGAATTAGGCAATAGCATTTGGACGGACAACAGCAACACCAAATCAGGGTTGGTTTGACCTGAAGCTTTGCTAGGAAGGACATCTGGATTGCTATACAACTATGGAATCATTATGATAGAGTAAATTTCCAGTTTTTAATTGTTTTAATTTCTATTTCCCCCCCTTTAGTTAGTTGCATATTGAGTTAAAAAATCAAACAGTTTTCATTAGTTCATGTTAGCATTTAAACATGCCATCTATATCTGTAAAGTGTTTTTCTTCCATTAGAATCATTCATTACCTTTCGTGAGGTTTCTTCTTCTATTTTTACTGCATATGAAAGTTCGACGAGGTTTATGAGACCTCAATGAACTAGTCCGAGGCACACCAAGAGGGGGGTGAATTGAAAATTTAAAAGTCAAGTACTAAACAAAAATGCTGATTTTTGGTTTTTTGCTACAAAAGTAGTTTGTAAATTAAATCCAAGTAGATAACTTAAAATTGTGCGGAAGCAATTAATACTTTTAAATAATATTTTTTTTTTTTTAATGAATGCAAATTTTCTAATTGCAAGCCACAATCCAAACTAAGTGCAGTTAAGACGTAAATATTGAAATCATCAAACTCAACTCGCAGATAATCATGAAAATTGTAGAAAAAAATAAATGCAAAAAGAAAAAAGCATACCAGAATATTTTATAGTGGTTCGTTCAATCTTGACCTATGTCCACTCTCTGGAGTCCTCCGCTCCGGGTATTGCACTAAAACAAAGTGACTCTCTTTTTGCCCCCACAGCAAGACGGAAAAGCCCTTACACAATTCCTTCCATTAAACATGATTGGGCGAAGTGCCGGAAGCTATGTCACCCTCCTGGTGATGGCAGCGAACCTCCAATCTTTTTCTCCCACTGGGGAAGGCAAAGTACCTCAGCTCCTTTTTCACCCTCCTAGTGAAGGTAGAGAACCCAACTCCTTTTTCTCCCTCTTGGAGAAGGCAGAAAATCTAGAGGACTTGACTTTGAAGCCACTCTCCCAAGAGAAAACTTCAAGGACTCACCCGGCCACAGGAGGAGCAAAGGTGCTTAGCTAGCTTGGATTAACCGTGTGATCCCCTTACACTACTTCTCCCTTACACTCAATCTCATCTTCTTCTTCCTCTCAAACCCTCAATCTCTCTCAAAAACATCTCTCTAAGAGTTTCTTTTTCAGCCCAAGACTCATTTCTCTTTTTTTTAAGAGATAATTAAAACATTGCTTTAGTATTGGTCTTCACAAAAACCTAAAAATTCAATGTCTCATTTACGTTCGTACATTATAAGATTAGTTCGTATAGTACGAACAGTTCAAAAAACTAGACCCGTCCAGTACGATGCAAACAGTAATTCAGACGAACTGTTCAAATTTTGCAAACATATCATACTGTAAGATTGTTAGGTCATCCAGTACGATCTGTTCGATTTCTATGTATTCGTATAAGACTATCCATGGGACGATTGAAAATCGTCTCCGTCAATCGTCCCGTATTGTTCTCATTGTACATTACGGTTAGTTGATGTCAAGTAGGTTATCCAGTACGATGTAAACATCATACAGTATGATTAATTCAACAATCATGGTTTCGCTTGGTACGATATTTTGGACAACCAAATTTCGTCTTTGTCAATAGTACGGTATGATCAAGATCATACAGAACGATCTGCTATTATTAATTAAACTATGATTTGATTAACTAATTACGGAGAATAATTTAAGTAATATTTCAAAATTTTATACAGTCTGATTCGGATCGTATAGTATGAATAGTTCAAAAATTCTTTTTTGAATTTCTTAATTTATCTGGCGGGTAGGGTTTACAGATCGAAACTATTCGTACAATACGATTAATTCAATACAATTAATGATTCAATTAGTCGTTAAGACTTATTTCTGAATAATTGATCGTACAGTATGATTGTAAAGTAAAATTTTTTTCTTAGATTTTCCTCACTCCCCGTGTGTGTGTGCACGATCACAAAATGCATACACCCTTATGTAGCCAGACTCAAGAAATAAAATATTATAAAAAAAAGTTAAAATTACAGACACTTCAACTTAACACTCTATTTTACCCAAGCTTGAGTCTTCAGTAGTCTTTAGTGGTGTATGTTTTTTCCTGAAATGTTAGTACACACAGAAAAAATAGAATATCCAGTATTCATGCTAAGAGAAATAAAAACTCAATTAATAATATTTGTTATCATCAAAATCACAAGCTAGGGATCTTGAATTGCAATAGCATCTACTCACTTTACTGCATCGTGGTTCTTAAATTTTGGTGCTTCTTCCCATATGACAAATAGCCCAAAATTATTTTCACCTCTCACCATGCAAATTTCTATTTTTCAGCATAGTTGATGGATGCCCCATCTCTCATTTCTAGGAAATGATTTATTTGTCTCTCCTAATCAACTTTAGGTCTTATATATTCTCCACTTTCCTATCAACGCATTATCTATAAAATGTCTTGCCAAATTTCACAAGTACTCAAATAACTTTTTGTCCCTCTCACGATGTTTTCAGTATCTCAACTGAGACAATTGGAGGTGTCGATTAGGTTAGAGCATTTACTATCTCTCTAATGCTATATTCACCGCACACTCCACTACTCCCCTTATCGGTGAGCATTATCAAGTTGGTCATGCTCCTCACCATCTTCAGCGTTTCACTCATCTTCCCTTTCTTTCTAAGTTTAAATGAGAAACCTGTGATTATAATAAACACCATGATGTCTCTTTTCCATGATATTGCTCCTTTTGTCATGGTCCATTAAGATTTTTAGGGAGGAAATCTTGTCTCCATTCATTTGCATTTTATCTAATTGTTTATATTGATGACTATACTTAAGTGTACTTGGTAAAGTATCCGTTTGATATCTTTATTATATTCAAACAATTATATTACGTTGAGAGACTTTAATTATTCAGTACTTGACATTTAAAAGCCCTTTCCTCTATGTAGCTTTAAAAAAAAGTAATGTTTGCTAAGTCAGATGACAATGCACTCTTAAGTTTCCTTTACTAGAACTTTTATTGATGAGCTAGTTTATGAAGTTGTACCATTGGATTTATGTCATATAATTATGGGTAATTCATGTTTGCCTGATATGGATGCTATCTTCCATAGCAGGAAGCAAAAAGTCATGCTTATAAAAGGAGAGAAAAAGTATAAAGTCAGTGGATACATTGTTCCCATCTTCATAGGAGATGAGGAAGACCAATAGATTAGAGAAGTTATGAAAGAAGGTCAATAGCTCTTTCTTAATAAAGAGCATAATAAGAGCAATCCCAATTGTTGATATAAAATTTGTCCAAGAGGATGAACAATAGCAGCAAAATTAGAAGCCCTAGACTATGAAGAATAAAAAAAAGAACAAGGCCAAGAGTCATAAAAGAAAAGAATATAGCTCTTAATTACAAGAGAAAATAAAGCTAAAATGGGGAGCGGAGCTATGATTCATGAAGATCTTATTAAGAGAATTTTTCACATCGGAATACTAAATTGGAAGGTCAACTAATTAGAAGTCCATAAGTAAAGACAGATCATGAATCAGGTGCATAGTGATCAAGAAAAAATTGACCATTGGATGGTGATAAAGACAGCATGATAAAGATGAATTTTAAAGTTGGAAATTATTTTGTACAAGTTTGCAGAATTTAAATTTGAATTTCTTTCTTTTGTAGAGTTAGTTTAGAAAGGATAAGTTTGTTCCTAAGTAGTGGACACAAAAATAAGTCTGTTTAATATTTGAAGATAGTTTATGAGAAGATGAGTCAAATTTAAAATAATTTACACTATTTGTCCTATAAATAAATTATTTCTAAGAATAAAAAGTAATTTTGCAACTCTCCCAAAAAATTTCCCCCCTACAACTTTGTCTGGATACCATAGCAGCAGCGCGAGCACAATAGCAATCACTAACATTATACAAAACCATACTTATTATAGCAATTATAGGCGATGTACCAACACGGGTACCATAGAAAACCATGCTTACTATAGCAAACTATGAGTAGAAGGTAAAAATAAGATCCGAGTTAGCACGAGCAAGAACATTTAATCAATCCTCTTATTGTGGACTGACATCATCTTAAAACAATTATGCCAGAACATTTTCCTTAAAAAAACTCCTAGTAGTTACAAAATCCTTCAGCATATTCAACTCTAGATCAATTTATGCTCACATCTAATATGCACAAGTGCGACAATCAAGAACTACTAAAAAATGCTACATAATCTTCCCAGCGCGTACTTTTAATCATTTACAAAATTCATAAATGAAACTTCATAAATCAAATTTTAATAAAATAAATCACAAAAAAATTAAGTTAAGAATGCTGTATGAGAAAATAACAATTGGATAAAGTAGCCTAAAATCACTATGGACGAACCATCCAGAAAATCTGAATTATCTGATTAAAGGAAACAAAATTTGAAATTAAAAGCTATCAAATCAATGATAAGATCTTTCATATTCTGTTACCTGAATTGAGTGCACAAGTTGGATACAATTTGATGATAAAGCTTCAGCATACATCAGTGCCATTAAATCTCGTGACCTCCTCCAATTTTCACCATAATTTACATTTTGGGGCCAAATCCTCTTGATAACATCTTGCAAATTTGATCTAAAAAATGCAATTAAAATAGAAATTCAGATATCAAGTGCTACAAAAATGTGATTATTCGTGCATGAAAGGTATTCGTAAAGAAAGGCTAGAGTTCATTCATGCAACTACAGTATTAAAGCATTCCACAGACATGTAAGCGTGTTTCCAAGACAACAACTATAATTCTTCTTTGCAACCTCCTACCAAACTGAAAAAAGGAACTATTTCTGATGTGAAACGTAAATGCCATTTACTTGCCTAGGTGGCAAGATTAATTAAATCCTAAATCAATTTGGGGAGAGAGAACGGAAATCTGAAATTAAATTTCAGATTAAGTGGAATTGGCGGGATGAATTTGAATTTAAACTCAAATTTAATGGGGAGAATTAAATTGGATGAGAGGGAATTGTGGGAGGTAATTATGGAGGCTTAATGAGGGCCAATTAATGAGATAGGAGAGAGATTATGCCCAATGAGGGGGCCGGCCACATAAGGAGGAGAGAGGGGTGAGTTTTGGAATAAGTGATGACCACCAATTTAATTTCAGATTTTTACAAAAATCTGAAATAAATTTTCAGTTTTCTTAAGGAAAGAAAACTTCCAATTAGGAGGGCAATCAATTTATGCAATTTGAATTTCAAATTTGAAATTAAAATCAATTAAATTGATGGCGTAAAAATTGATGGCGTAAATTAAGGAGCTACTTTAGGAAACAATTAATGGCCCATAAAACATTTGAATTTTAAATTTTGAAATTCAAGGAGAGGTAAGCCGGCAGGTAGAGGGAGGAAAGAGGCGGCCACGGTGTGGAAGGTGGATGGCCGGCGGGAGGCAGTGGCCTGGAGGTCGACGGCCTGAGCGGGCTAGAGGAGGGGCGGCGGAAGTGCTAGGTGGAAACGAGTGAAGGGATGGAGTTCAAGGAAAATGCGATCCGGACGGATTCTCCTTGAATTTTCACACTAATTGATTGCAAAGAAAAATTGGAGGAAGGTCTAGAACTCACAAAGAGATCTAGCTCTTCCCAAAACTCACTAAGAGATTTGGGAGAGGGATGCACTCACAAAGAAAACACAAAGTAGAGAACTCACTAAGAGATCTCAAAAGAAAAAGAACTCACTAAGAGATTTAAAAGATGGAACTCACAAAGAGAACACAAAAAGCAAATTTTCATTAACAATTCATCCTCTCATTACATAAGAAAGGGCCTCTATATATAGGCCTAAGAAACTAAAACAAGACACATATGCCCCTAAGGCTTACATAGGACAACCCTCTTAAGTGAGGGTAAAAACGGAAAATTCATAATAAAAATTTAAAAAATTACAAATAAAATATAAGATAACGTGGAACGATGACAGCCATTGATCTTCAGCTCCTCGGATAGCCATGGACGGTTGGATGTCCGCATCAGTTTCTCCTTCCATTTTGAAGGCGCTCAATTAGGCATTCTTTTCTTAAATGAATTTTATGTAATATAACATCGCATGCTGGCTAGAGAGATCAAAGAAAAGTGCATTACACAATAAGAGAAAGTAATGCATAGATGTATGGATACACCTTATCTTAATGAAGTCAAAAATGAAACGCATAAGCATTTGGCAAATGGAATTAAAGCAGCTGTTGAATTTGTTTGTAATCATCGATGCAGGCATCTTACATATGCATGCATGTTTATTATTCATTATCTAGTTAACTTTCCTTGTCTATCTCTTTCTCACATAAACAGTACACCCAAATAGAGTGTTTACTTATTTTTCCTATGCCTTACTTCTTTTGTGTTACATCCTTCAGGAAAAATTCTATCAGGGCGAAGCAAAGACCACTCATGAGTACCACCTTTTTGCAAAAACCACTCATGAGTACCACCTTTTTGCAGAGTAAGAAAACTATTTTAGATCATTTGGTGGTCAGAACTAATACTATACGAGAAAATATCTAGATAGTAATTTTAGAATATTTCAGGATTTATTTCAGTTTTATTAGATTTAAAAACAATCTAAATTATTTCTCATATAGCACATGGTAATGGATTCAACGCTTGCGATTAACTTGACATCAACAACACATCATCAAGCCTTTATCCTACTACTTGGAATCAGTTACATGAATCATTCTTTCTCCATTATGTCATATTAAGTTTCAAATTCTCATTTAAATCTAATAAAAAAAATTTGACGCATCTAGGAAGTAAAAAACGGCAAAGTGAATAAGTAGAAACTGCAGGAATATGAAGGTAGGAGTTGATTTAGTGATTATCTCTTCAACAAGAAAGAAAGATACAAGTGATCTACTATTCGAGAGGTACATCAGCTCTATCACAAACCCTAGGCATCGCTAGGAGACTCTCAAAGAAAACTACAGCAAAAAAACAAGTTGCATAAATCAAAAATAAAAACATAGTTAGCCTTAAATAGGCTCCCCTAATTCCTCCCAAATCAGCCACCTTTTCCAAAATAATTCCCTCTCATATATGAATTCAAATTAGATCTCTTTTCCTAAATAATTCTCTCTCAATTTTAATTATAACTTCCCTAAAAAACTCCCCCTTGATTCATCCTCCTAACATAATGAATATTAATTCCCCTGGGCCTCACAAGAGAGTCTGAAACTCCCTCCCTCCTACTCTGGTTCCCATCCAGCTGTTTAATTGGGTTGAGTTGGTCACAGTCGGGCGGCTACCTCACGCTTGCCAAAGGCATGCGCGTAACAAAACTTCCCCCCAAAGACACACCTCGTAGTGGTGGTGGATATATTGAGCAAATATGCTCATTTCGTTCCCTTATGGCACCCATACACCGCAATGTCGGTGGCAGCTGTATTCATTAAGGAGGTGGTCTTGTTGCATGGCATACTCGAGGCCATTGTGTGTGATCGGGACAAGGTTTTTTTGATCCATTTATAGGAGTTATTCAAAATGCAGGAGACTATCCTAAAGCGGAGCACAGCCTATCATCCTAAGACGGATGGCCAAACAGAGGTGGCAAACCATAGTGTGCAGATTTATCTTTGTTGTTTTGTATCAGATACACCAAAGATGTGGGTCAAGTGGTTAATCTGACAGAATATTGGTATAATACTTCATATCATACATTAACCCAGACAACATCATTTAAAATCTTATATGGGAGAGATACACCTCATCTAATACACTATTGGTATAAACACCAGTATCATCAATGAAGTAGTACTTGGAATAAAGAGGTCGAATTTTGGCAAAATTGAAGGAAGATTTGTAGAGAGAACATCAAATTATGAAGAAACAGATCGATGGACACTTGAGAGACGTGTAATTTGAGGTTGGGGACAAAGTTTATCTAAAGATCCGACCTTATAAACAGAGTACCTTAGCTCAACAAAGGAATGACAAGCCCTCCACCCCCGGCTACTTTAGGCCCTATGATAGAGCGCATTAGCGCAGTAGCATATCGTCTACGATTGCCACCGACCTCAGTCATCCATCCCGTATTTCATATTTCACAACTGGACATATGATAGGAGATCACGCACCATCTCCACTACCCCGACTTTAACAGAAGATATGGAGGTCATTTTGGAGCCCATAGATGTAAAAGAGGTCGTCAAGAGAATACAGGTGCACAAAAGTTACTAATCAAGTGGAAGGATTTGTTGGAGCGCGAAGCTACATGGGAGCTATACGAGGCAATCAGGAGACAGTTATCATCCTTCCACCTTGAGGAACAGGTACGTCTTTAGGGGGGGAGTGTTGTTACTCCCACGCATTATGCGAGCGTGAGACAAGTCGCCCGGTTGTGACCAACCAAACCCATCAGACTAGTTGGAAGGGAACCAAAGCAGCAGGGAGGGACTATGTAAGGAGAAGGAATCAAAGTCTTAATTAAAATCAAGGGAAATTATTTAGGGAAAGAGATCCAAATTGAATTCAAATCTGTGAGGGAAGTATTTAAGGAAAGGTGGATGATTTGTGAGGGAATTAAGGGAGTCTATTTAGCACTAACTATATTGTTATTTTGATTTATGCAATTTATTTTATGTTGCAATCTTCTTAGAGAGTTTCCTAGCGACGCCTATGACTTGTGGGAGAGCAGATCTAACTCTAGAGTAGTACATAACTTATATTTTTCTTTCTTGTTGAAATAATTACAAAATCAATCCTTATCTTCATATTCCTGCAGTAAGTCTCATCTGATCTTACTCAACTTCTCATAATAATCTCTCTCACGCTTTAAGGCCTCACAATCCACCACCATGGGAATAGATATAGCCATAACTTGAGGGTCTTCACCATGCCTGGAGAGCATATGCAGCTTTATTTTTCAGCCCAGGTTTATATTGGATCTTGAAGTCATAAGTCAACAATTTAAAAGGCACCGCTGATACTCTGTCACTATCATTTGCTCTAACAAGAACTTCAGACTCCTCTGATTGGTCCTGACTATGAAGTGTGACCCTAACAAGTAACAGCACCACTTATGTATGACCAACACTATTATCATCAGCTCCCTTTCATACATCAACTTAAGTTTGACCCTAGCGGTCAACACCTGGCTGAAATAAGTTATGAGCCACTAATTTTGCATGAGAAATGCCTCCAATCCATAGCCCGATGCATCAGTCGCTGAAATATAATAGAGCTAACACAAGGACACTTGACATTTCTTATGGCTTTCTTCAGCTGCTCAAATGCTAGGGTGGCTACCTCCCCCCCATTTGAAAGTATCCTTTAGTTTCTCTGTCAATGGTCATACTATAGAATTATATCCCCTTACAAACTCCTATAGTATCATGTGAGTGCCAAGTACCACCATAGCTCCTTCAGGGTTTTAGGTAAAGGTCATTTCAACATAGCCTTTATCTTGGCAGCTAGTCCTAATTTGGACACCACATGTCCCAAATACTCCACCCTCTGCTGTGCAAAAGAACACTTCTTCAAATTGGCATACAACTAATACTTCTTTAATGTTACTAACACAACCCTCAAGTGGTCCACATGTTATGCCTTAGACTAGCTAAGCACTAAAATGTCATTAAATAAAAAC